CAGGTAGCTGCGCCGAGTCAGGTTGTTGTGTCTAGTCAGGTTGCTGCGTCGTGCTCGTGTCGGTCAGTAGCTCATCCCTCCCTCTTGTGGATCCACTGCCTTGGTCACCCCTCACTCCCTCGTCTTCATGCTATGTACAGTCAGTGTCTTGTCTTAGGCCTCCCGCGAGTCCTACCGCCACTCCCGCCGTCCCCAGCTCCTCCGTGCGGTCCTTGTGTCCAGGGTCGGCTGCGCGCCACCCCTCACTCCTCCTCCCTTCGTCCAGCCACCACTCCCTTTCAGACTCTCCACTTCGACGTCTGGGGCCCCGCTCGCTGCCTTGGCCCTGAGCGAGAGAGTTTCTTTCTGGTGGTCGTTGACGACTACTCTCGGTACACCACCGTGTTCCCTTTGGCGAAGAAGTCCGACGTGACTCATACGCTGATCCGGTGGCTGCTCGCCACCGAGGGTACTCGAGGTCGTCGTCGTGTCAGTTGTCTCCACTCCGACCATGGGGATGGGTTTCTCTCCGGCGTTCTTGCCAGATTCTGTGCTGAGCAGGGCATCACCCAGTCCTGGACGCTTCCAGAGTCCCCACAGCAGAATGGGGTTGCTGAGCGCCGCCTAGGCCTGGTCATGGAGATTGCACGCACCTCCATGATCCACGCCCGTGCGCCCCATTTTCTGTGGCCCTACGCGGTTCGGTACGCCGCTCACCAGCTGAACCTCTGGCCTCGTGTCTCTTGGCCAGGGGTTTCACCAACCAGTCTTTGGACAGGGTCCCCTGCTGTTAAGGCGAGGTTTCATGTTTGGGGCTGCTTGGCGTTTGTCCGCGACACCTCTGTGGACAAGATCTCGCCTCGCGCCGTCCCCTGTGTCTTCCTTGGTTTCCCAGAGGACTCCTCTGACTTTACCTTTTACCACCCTCCCTCCCACCGGTTCTTTGACTATTGTGACGTCCGCTTCGACGAATCAGTCCCCTACTACGTCCGGTACCCCTGTCGAGGTCTCCCGGTTCCCCCCCCTCCCCTCTTCCTGGCTCCAGCTCCTCCTCCTCCCGCCCCTGCTCCTCCGGTACCCCCCCCTGTTCCCGCTCCGTCTGGTGTGTCTCACGCTACCCCCCCCCCCCCTCCCCCTCCCCCTCGGTAGCCCCGTAGGGTCCCCCTCCTTCCCCACTGTCGTCCTCACAGCCACTGCAGCAGCCGTCAGCGCTTCCTTCACCAGCTACTGCGGACTCGGAGGGTGTTGGTGCTCGAGGTGAGGGCTCTGGCGGTGCTAGCTCAGGGGGTGTTGGCGTTGGAGCTGCGCGTGCACCTGCCGGAGCTGCCCGTTCTGGGGGTGCTGGAACTGGCGGTATTGGTGCTGGAGCTGGTGGTGCTTCTGGAGCTGGAGAGTCTGGGGCTGGTGCCGGCACCGCTGGAGGCTCCACGACTGGAGGTGCGGGTACAGGTCGCGTTACAACAGGGAGTACTCGCTCTGGGGGTGGTCAGCCGGGTACTGTGGAGGGCGGAGCTGGTGCTTCTTCGTCTCCTCACACCACTCCTCCTCCTCAATCCTACCCGACTCGACACCAGGCCCGTCTTCGTCTTGAGCGTGAGGAGCAGCAGCGTTTGGAGCGTGAGAGGTTGGAGGTTCAGCAGCGGGTGGAGCGTGAGAGGCTGGAGTTGCAGCGGGAGCAGGAGGAGTAGCAGTAGCCGCCGCCGCCGCAGCAGCAGCAGCAGCAGCCGCAGCCGGAGCAGCTTCCCCTATTACTGGCCTTCGAGCCCTTGGTCTCCCCTCCTCTCCTCCTGTGTTCGGTCCTACGTTTCCTCCTCCGGACTCAGCTCCGGCTGTGTTCCCTCGTTCTCAGTCTCCTCCGTCTCCCTCTCCTCTCGCCCACACTTCGGCCTCCTGTCCATCTCGTGCTCGTCCCTCATCACCGGTCACTGACCTTCGTACTATGTTGTCTCGTCCTAGTCCTCCTCGTCCTCCTCCGTCTGTTCTTCCTTCCCCTCCTGAGTCTTCCCTCACTTTCTCCCTACTCCGGTCACTGACTACTACCAGACGTACCGTCTTGTTCTCTCTTGCGTTCTCGCCTCTCTCGTTACCGAACCTCGTGCCTCTCTGTCCTCTGTCTCCGCTCTTACTGTTGCTATTACTTAGTTCGCTGCGACGCGTCGCCTTGACTACGCCACTCGTGTTGTGGCAGCTCCTCCTGTCCGTCCTCTGTCCGCCGGGGGTGAGTCTGCCCTTGGCCATGACGTCCTAGAGGACAGATAGTTTGAGCTAGAGTTCCTGGCAGCTGCTTCGCCTCATCTCTGTGCCATGCTGCTCGCTCCTGAGGGAGACCCCGACGCTCCTGACATACCTACTCCTCGCACTTACGCTGAGGCAGTGTCAGGGCCTTGGGCCTCTCAGTGGAGAGCTGCCATGGACTCAGAGATGGCCTCCTACAGATCCACAGGCACCTACGTTGATGAGGTTATCCCCCCAGGGGGCGAACGTAGTTGACTGCATGTGGATCTTCAAGGTGAAGCGGCCGCCGGGATCTCTCCCAGTATTCAAGGCACGCTACATGGCTAGAGGGTTCAGTCAGCGTGAGGGAGTTGACTTCTTTCAGACCTTCGCGCCCACCCCGAAGATGACCACTCTTCGAGCTACACTCTCTTGACTACTCCACTTCCTTTCTCTAGGGCAGCCTACACGAGGAGATCTGGCCGCGTCATCTCCCGGGCTTCACTGGCACCTTCCCGCCTGGGACCCAGTGGAGCCTGAGACGACCGGTCTACGGTCTCTGCCAGGCACCCCGTAAGTGGCACGACACTCTTCGTTCTACTCTTTCCGTCTGACCTGAGGTTTGAGCCGTCTTCCGCTGACCCGTCGTTGTTCGTTCGCCGTGGGCCCACACCCTTCTTCGTTCTGGTCTACGTTGACGACTTGGTTTTCGCCACGGCAGACATAGTTGCACTGGCGGAGGTGAAGTCCGAACTGCAAAAGATACACACGTGCACTAACCTTGGGGAACTGCGCCGCTACCTTGGACTACAGATCTCCAGGGACAGAGGTGCTTGCACCATCACTCTAACTCGGTCACACATGGTGCAGCAGGTCCTTCAGCGGTTCGGGCTTCAGCACTCCTCTCCTACACCCACTCCTCTTGTTGTGGACCACAGACTGACTGGGCTCTTTCCTGACGAGCCGTTCGAGCCTAGTGGTCCTTACGCAGAGCTGGTGGGTTGCCTCATGTACCTGATGACGTGCACTCGCCCGGACCTCGCCTTCCCTCTTAGCATCCTTACTCACTTTGTTGCGATTCGGAGACACCGTCCTGTTCACTGGACGGCGGCTAAGAGGGTGGCGAAGTACCTCGCCACGACATCAGACATGGGGCTTGTACTTGGAGGGACACAGCCAGTTGTACTCACCGGTCACTGCGACTCCTCGTACCTCGACGACGTTGAGACTCAGAGGTCTACGCAGGGTTACTGTTTCAGTCTGGGCTCTGGAGCTGTTTCGTGGAGGTCTACTCGGTCCTCCTCTGTTGCGACTTCTACAGCAAAGGCCGAGATCTACGCCGGAGCCCTTGCTATACAGGAGCTGCGCTGGTTGACCTTCTTGCTCACTGACCTTGGTGAGCGGCCGAGCTCTGCACCGACCTTGTTTGCTGACAACAAGGCGATGATTCTCCTGTGTCGAGAGCCTCGACTGGAGAGCAGAGTGAAGCACATCGATGTCAAGTACACTCTTGAACTGGCCTTGGGACCGTTGTTAGTGCTCAGACTGTGTGGTGACGTTGTGATCCACCCTGAGCTTTGTTTTCTCTCTTGCTTGTGACTGGTCTTGTGACCTTAGGTTGCTTGCTGTTGGTTTTCACCAGGGCCCAAAATAGGTTTAGGTCCACTCTTTCAAATCAGGGTTCCAGGCCCCCAGTACCCTGACTGTTAGGGTAAAATATTTCGTACCCTGCCAAAAACAGCCTAAAAAAACATGTACACTGATTTTAAAAGGATGAAATGGTTTTTATTTATCGATAGCATTTCTTAAAGCAAAACTCCACCAGAACATGTTTCAGTTATTCAGTTTTGAGGCAAGAATTCCGAAGGTCACAGGTTCGAATCTGGCTGGTGCACACAAATTTTTTGCAGCTTCGCAAGGAAAACTCTCGCTAAGAGGATTCGGTATCTGTGAAGTATACAGCGCACCCTGATATCGGCAAGGTAACAGAAATCGTTATCAGTGTAAATCAAATCTTAGCCTGTTTGCTCTAGGGTAATAAATTTGATACCCTGTTTTTGCAAGGGTAACTGGGAAAAAGCGGCCTACCATCAGGGCAAAAAGGGTATTTTACCCTTGAAAGTTGGGGAAAACTTTTCACTCCCCACTTAGGCTATGGGGGTGTGTCAAATGTTATAGCCTCTAGTGGGTTGCCAATACTGTATGGGGTACAAACAATTACGGTTAGGCATTTGTATCCCAACCCAATCAATGCAAGTCATCCCGCTGTAGTTAGTTTCTGACTTGTCTATACAGCAAGGGTGCGCTTATAACACCGAGAAGTAACGATTTTTTAGGGGGTGCACTTCCAGTTGAGGATCGGCCATAAGCGCATTGCTCCAGATAAAAGCTTGTGGTTATATCCGGGGCTATACGGTAGCTTACATCAAGGAATTTCTCTTGATTGCCCAAGTGCTTACCGGTACATTCTTTTGCTGCTTAGATTTGTGTCATTGTTGTATGGGATTGTCATACGAACTGCAACATTCAAGTAAATGCAACATGTGAAACATCATAATTGAAGACCTGTTGTTCTAGAGCCTGCCCTCATGTTCCTAGCTGCTGTGATTGTAGCGAAGGACTGACTGCAGCAACTAAACAGCCACACATCCCATCCTCATGTCAGGACTAGGCTCTCTAACAACAGACTCTGAAAAAGCTCAATGAAGGTAAAGTCATTGCCATCTCGGCAGCGCCCTGAACACCGCCTGGAGCCCACACACATCCTACGTCCTTCTCACTCCAGGCACTCCGACTCCCTTCACACTTCAGTTCCTGAGCCCGAACGCCCATCCTTCGGGTGCCTTCTGGAACTGACCCCTAGCAGCACCAGCCTCGAAGCCCGGAGAAGCGAGCAGAGCATAGAAGGCGGGGGGCTGTGCCACAACCGCCAGTGCCACGTCCTTCACCGTCTGCACGCCGTCAGCAGCAGCCACGGTGGCAGCAGCGCGCCACACACCCGTGAGAGTGAAGGTGTGCAGCCCTGCCACGCGCGCAGAGCGCCCCGCTGCGCGCTGCAGGCGGCCCCACGCGCGCCCCATGGGGCCGCTGCCAGGGGAGGGCGCGGCCACGCTGGTCCATGCAGGGGGGGACACGCCGTCAGCGCCCGTGGCCGTGAAGAAATCCAGCAGAGTCGCGCCGGTGGTGGCGGCGCTGCCGCTGTTAAGAGTGAGCGCCGTGGGCGCGGCGTCAGTGGAGAGGGAGATGCGCGCCGTGAAGGCCACGTCGTAGTCCGTGCCGTTCCTGCCCACCGACATCCAGGAAAGAGAGGGGGGAAGGAGATGGAGTGAGCGAGGCGGGCAGGGGGAGACAGGGTTCCACCATGCGCAATACCAGCAGTCAATACCAGGGATCAAGAGCGGCAGGGGACAAGCAGTCAATACCAGGAATCAAGAGCGGCAGGGGACTCACTGCAGGAGGGTGATTGCAAGGACGCCGGTGGCGTTGGCATCACCAGGGGCTGTCAGCGCATCAGCCGCCACACTGCTGCCCTTCAGCTGCGCCAACACGCCTCCCGCGCTCTTCCCGCGCTTACCCCAACCAAGCCCCCTCCCATTCCCCTTCCCATTGCCCTGTCCCTGCCCATTGCCCTGCCCCTTGCCGTTGCCGACCCCCATCAACCCCATCACACGCGAGCTGGCAGTTGTCGCCACGCCTGCAGGGCTACCACTGTCTGTACTGTTTCCCTGCCCGCTCCCCTGCCCGTTCCCCTGCCCGTTCCCTTTGCCCTTCCCGTTCCCCTTCCCCTTACCTCCGCCATTCCCCTTGCCATTGCCCTTCCCCTTCCCCTGACCTCCGCCATTCCCCTTTCCCTTGCCCTGCCCCTGCCCCTGCCCGTTGCCCTGCCCCTTGCCGTTGCCCACCCCCATCGTCCCAATCACTGCCTCACTCGCGCCTGCAGGGCTAACACTCTCTGTGCCGTCCCCCTCGCCTCCGCCGTTCCCCTTGCCCTGCCCGTTCCCGCCCTTGCGTCCAAAGATGCCCCCCAGGTCGCCTGGAGTGCTGCCGTTGCCAAAGAGCGAGGTGAGGCCGGAGAATATGCCGCCTGCGCCCCATCCGCCGGTCATATTTCCGCCAGTCAGCACGCCGAGAATTCCGCCACCGTTCCTGCCACCCTTTCCGTTTCCGCCCTTCCCGTTTCCTTTTCCGCCGCCATTTCCCTTGCCGCCTCCCTTTCCGTTTCCGCCTTTCCCCTTGCCGTTACCAGGAGCAGCAAAGGCACCTGCACATGCATAAGACGGCACACTTGCTCGTTAAGAATCGTTTCAGAGAAGAAAAAGAACCGATAGTGGAGAGCAGTGGGAGGCGTGGAGCAAGAGATGGAAAACAAGAGACTACGCAAGAGGAGTGGGAGCGAGCTCACATGAGGTGGCGAGGAGAACAAGAATCAGAACCGCAAGGACCTTCGTCGTCGCCATAATCGACTCAACTCTGAGAAGCCGCTGGTTTCAAATCAAAGCAATCTGCGAGTTGCTCAATTCCCGATGGAATCTAAGGGAGAAGACTCGAAGCACTTAGATGGGATGTCCATGGGAGGACGGGGCATGGATCTTTATAGTCCTCGGAACGATCACAACTGTGTGGTGCTTGAACGAACAGCGGGTTCCCTCCCCAACGTCTGCCACATCATCCGCAGCGCGCGACGGATGCGCGAAGGTGACGCGTCGACGAGATCGCGTCTCTGCTGGCGGTGAGTGCGCGACAAAGAGTTGCCCATTTCTGGCGACTCACACGGCTGAAACGAGGAGACTGCGCGCAGGGTGCTGCTCGCTCATGCGAGTTGAGACGGTGAGCAAGTGAGACGGTGAGTGCGTTGGTGCGCTGAGGGCCAGTAGTAGTAGTAGTGGGTCGGCTTATCAGCCACCGTCGCTACGCGACGCAACTCTCGTTCTTTGTCCTAATCGTCGTCGTATTCTACGCGAGTAATGTCGGCACCCATGTTTCTTGAGGCGCGGGAACGGGAGGCTCGGCAAAGAGGGCAGGTGGAGCACGAGCTCTGGATTCTCCGTCGTTGACGCAAGGAGATGATCGCTGGCTTGCGGTGTGGTGTCTCGGCGTTGCCATTACACCGCACGAAGTACCACCTCACCACAGCCTATCTCTGGGCTCAGCTCTCCACCCCACCACACATTCGCCATGCCAGCCGTTTCTCGCACCGACTGTGGCGGCGGGTTACCCTGTTCCACCTGCAGCAGCGCCCACCGATTCCATCCCCAGCCACTTGGTGGGTCTGGCTTCTAGCAGATCGACGTTGGCGACTCCCCACAAACGAGCCAACCGAGTTCCGAACGAGCGTGTAACCCAATCGTTCAGCCGCGCGAGGGTCGCGTCGCTCGATTCATCTGTTCTCGCTGAATAGTTTTTCACGCCCCATTAGTGAACAGCTCATTAAATTGATTACATTCTGAATAAACAACCGCTTCCTAGAAGCCACTACATTGCTTCAAGGCATTACTTACACTACATTCCCTCTCAAGAATGCCCTCCTTACTAAATTGCGCAAACGTCTTGAAACATGTGTCTTTGAAGATATGCAGTGAGGACGGGGTGGTTATTAATTCTATCCAATGGCACCTAACTACCTCCACCAGGCGTTGACTCCTTCCAGCGTGTAAGGAATCACAATCGTCGTGCTCCTCGTGAATCACGCACTCGATTGCTAAGAATCTTCTCGGGCTCCATGGTTGGTCTGCTGTTGGTCTAGCGGCGTATGACAGGTCTGGTCGGCACGCGAAGAGAAGACAGCCGAGCTGCCACTGGTATAGGCGATGATCAGTGGCGGATAGAGGGGTTGTGTCGGGCTCGTGGTTAGGAGGAGGAGTGCGATTGGTAGGGCGTGATGAGGTTGACGGGGGCGATGCCAAATATCTTTGCGAGTGTCTCGACGTTCTTAGCTGCCGATAGGTGGATTGGGTAACGTTGAGTCCAAGGAACTGCCGTATTCCCCCGGACCTACCACCCGCCGAAATAGAGCACCCCCCGGGTGGCTTGTGCGGGGGCGGTGTTATAGCGGGCCTCGTTTCTACTATACCCCCCTTTTGGGGTGATTTTCTATAACACCCCCCTTTCATACAAAATTTCTAATTATAGGTGTTAGCGAGTACTGCAGAACATCACGGAAATAACTTCCGCGATGAAATTTCATGGTAGTTTCGATAGAATCTACCGAAATCACCCCCCTCCCTCTTTTACGCTACTGCCACGCTGGAAGATTGTTCACTACCAAGTGGCCAAAAAGGTGCCACTTGGCAATTTCAAGGGAGGTGAAAAGGATCTCTCCAAAACCCACATTCTCGCTTCTAGCTGTGATGGTAAACCAACTCTGAAAACACCCAAGTTGTCTTTGCATCAAAATCCTTCCACTAAAAAATACCATATAAAAAGACCCGGGTGTTATGTAGCTTTTTCCCATGACAAGACCCCCCCCATTTTTTTGCTGTAGTTATCATAGCACCCTAGGGTGGTATGTCCGGAGTAATACAGTGAGTGACGTTATGGTTGACACTCACGTCTAGCATCTCCTTGATGTCGCGCACGAAGCGATCGAGTAACTATGTATCGTCCACATAGGCGACGAGCAAGATGAAATTTTCGCTAGACTCGGTCGGTACATCCCCTGGCCGTGCGGCAGTTGCTGGAAGCCGGAATCAATTAGTACCATGAGTAGGTACTGTTTCCACAGGCGTGGTGCCTGTTTGATGCCGTACGGTGATTTCTGTAGGAGGCACACGGTAGAGTCGTTTTCTTCGAAGGCGTGTGGCTGCTTGACGAAGATGATGGCGTGAACGATCACATATAGGAATGCGTTTGATACGTTAACTTGACGTAGCAGGCGCTGCTTCACGGCGGCAAGGAGGATGAGAATGCGCAATGAAGTGTGACGTCCGACAGGTGCGAAAGTTTGGTCGTAGTCGACGAACTGACTCTGCTCGAAGCCATGTACGGCCCACCGCGCCTTGCATTTGCTGACCGAGCCGTTTGCGAGTGTTTAATTGCGAAACACCCATTTTTCGCTGCGAATTTCCTCCCTCCCCTCGATCTCCCCCTCCCCCTTTTGCTGATGCGCGGTACCAGCTTCCATGTGCCGCACCGTTTTAGTGTAGCTACTTCGGCGGCCATAACTGCTATCCACTTCTCTACATCGGGTCCCTGCAGGGCCTAGCGAACTGTGGTGGGCTTGGTGAGTTGCTAGTTAACACGAATAGCGATGGTGAGTCCAAGGATGCGTAACCCAGTGAGTTTGGCGTCAGCGGTGTTGGTCACTACTACCACGTCGTCATCGTCGCCAGGGATGTCGCAAATGGTGTCGTAAGAAGGGTCAATTTTTGGGTCTTCCTCCATGGGTGAGTGTATTTCAGCGCTGCATTTGGGTCGGGTTCGGTTGGAATGAATGTCTCGGTGTCCAGTTTGTTAGGATTAGCCTGTCAACACTTTGTGTACTATATCGTGTAGGTTATTTGCTGGTTGGGTGTAGTTTGTAATCCCAATTCTATCTGGTTGGGATTCCCTCGTAATCCTGCAAATCTGCCAACTCACCAATTGGAGATTTGCTAGGATTCCCATCCCATCCTTTCCCTAGATTTGCCCAACCCAACCTCGTTTGTTCTTAAGGCCTAGTGCCTTCTCTACCAATCAATGAGTTGAGCTCCAGTTCTATCATGGTATCGAGCTAGTTAATTTCGCTCACGCGAAATGTGATCCTTGGCATCGAGATCGTTTCTCTTCCTCTCGGCTATGGCGTTTTTTGTTCCCGCCTTCTCCGCTTATCATTTGTCGCGTTCACATCTTCGCGCTGGTCAAAAGCGCTTTCACGCTCCGTCGCCGTGCATTTCCAATTTCAACGGCGTACATTCCTCCTTCGATTTCCTTCATCGTAAGCTTTGGAGTTTCAATTTTCCGTGGCAAATTTCTCACATTCTTAACTTCGAACTGGTTTCAGGGGCGTATGAGAGCAGGTTTCAGCGGCGCGGCAGAGCAGGTTTATCGGCGCAGCAGAACAGGTCAGCGGCGCAGCAGAACAACTAGGTTAGCGGCACAGCAGAACAGGTCATCGGCGCAGCAGAAAAGGGGTCATCAGCGAAGAAGAGCAGCAGAACAGGAATAGCAATCTTCTTGCCGATTCGCATATTTTCGCGTTTCGGACTTTCGCGCTGCATCAATTTTCAAAATCGCCGCTCCGCTTCGCTCCGCCACGTATCGGTGACTTTCGCGTTGCGCTCCGCGCAAATGGCGACTTCAACTTCCACCGTCGTTGGAAACCTCATCGTTCTCAATCTCGCTCCTAACGGCATGAGCACCAACTTTGGGGAATGGTGCTATGGGGTGGAGAAGCACCTCCTTAGCACGGAACGGAAGGGGATTTGGTTCAAGGACATCCTCCTCAACCGCGGCAAGGGAAAGATGCCTCTCCCTCCCGATCCTCTTGGCAAAGGCGCCATTGCCACAAAGAAGGCCACCTTTGAGGCTAAGACCACCAAGTATGAGACCGATTTCAGCGTGTGGGAGCAGGCAGATGCAGCATTTATTAGGATTTTCATCACCACCACTCTAGTTGGGCTTGTCAAATTCTACCGCACCTTTCGCTTTGCGCATGCCATTTGGAAGTACCTCTAGGACCGTTTTCATGACGAGACAGCAATGGGTGTTGCCATCCTCATTCCTCGAATGTTCCAGGTCCGTCTTGAGGAATGACCTGGCATGGCAGATTATATCTCTGAAATCCGCATCATCCATGAGGAACTCAAGGACATTGGGATTATTTTCCCCGAACAGGCACTTGCAGCTGCCCTACTTGTAGGACTGACCCCGGCCTACAATGTTACCAGCTCCATGCTCAAGCAACTTCCCACCAAGGAACTCACCTTAAAAA